CCCCCATACACACACAAACACCAGGATTTCACACAACGGGGGTTGAACGGCGTGTCTCTCACTTGCGTGAGAGGGCCGTGAAAGGTGCTGTTTCAGCTCGTCCCCAGCCCACCAGTCCGCCACTCCACACAACACACACACTACTACTACTACTACTACTACTCCAAATAATAATTAAGTTGAGGTGCATGTAAAACTGCACCCTTGGGACCGTCGTCGACAAAGGTCGAATTGTTATTGCGGGAGACTTTCATCGCGCCACCCTCACATCCATGGCGCCATGCGGGCAAGACCAGGTCAAGACGACTGAACACGACGCAGACGGCAGCCAGTCAACTAGCCAAGAGGAAACCCAGTTGGCTTTACAAACTACCAACAAGGCATAAAAATAGTGAACCGCCAATGGGAAAGCAACTTCGCCTGCAATCAAAAAGTACTTCGAAAAGACCGCTTATCGGTGTCCTGTGACCGTCTCAGTGTCACCTATAGGTGTAAGACGGTAAAGTCTACCTGGAAAATGTGCATATTGCCTTTTTTAAGGTCACCTCATGTGCAAAACTCACCTTTTCAGGTTCTCCGTGCTTTACAATCAAACCCGAAGAACTTCTAATAATGTCTTGGCGGTGGGTTACATCCAGCCTGGGAACACTCAGACGACCGGAGCGGGTTCTGGGCAGGCTACGAACATTAACCGCTTCACCTAATGGAAGAGAGAGACGGGGAGTCGTGCCTTGAAAAAGCGTCTTTTTTCCTTCTCTAGTGTTAAGGTACATTGTTTTATCAAAACACAGTCACACAGTAGATGTGATAGCTCATAAAATGTTAATCGACTCGAAAAGATTACTTAGAAAGGGTTGTAACACGGTTGGTGACAAGGATAGTTCACCCGTCGGCCGAGACGATTACTACTACTACTACTACTACTACTACTACTACTACTACTACTACTACTACTACTACTACTACTACTACTACTACTACTACTACTACTACTACTACTACTACTACTACTTCTACTTCTACTACTACTACTACTACTACTAATACTACTACTACTATTACAGCACCATTCGTACCTCTGCCAAAGCGGGCATCATTGCCTCATCCAACAGCACCGCGATGTAGATCACTGCGGCTTCTTTCTTTTGTTAAACTGGTCCTAGAGACACCCTGACTTGTGTGTCACCTGGGCGACAGCTGCCAGACTTCCTCATCGTAGGCGGGTTCGCGTTTGCTGCAGGGATTAGTGCTCCTGTGACATACGTAGACTCGGGCGTCGCGCCACGCCAGCCACAACACCCGAATCTGCTACCAGTCGAGGACGCAAACCTACCGGTGGCACATAGTGAACCAGGGGAGAAAAAGTGAGGCCGATCTAGGTTGGGTACGACGCATACTTCCCTCATCCTAGTCAGTTTGACTCGTTAGTAGTTGTGGTTTGTAGGGTTGTTAACGGGTAGGCTAACTGGGTCATTCGCCGGTCAGAGTCAGGCCTCAGTGGCTCCTTGATGCGACTTTTGTGACGCTCCTCACGTGAATTTCAGGACCCCAATTGAGGTCTGGTCTCCTGCTAAACTTTAGTAAGGGCGCTTGATGTTGCAGGAGGGGAGATAGAGGACGTCAGCTGTCTTCAGCCGCCTTAGTTCCCTTGTCGAATCGCTGCCTGGAGTTTGGCCACGGACCAGAGCTGAGTACCGGGTGGGCAAGGCAGCGCGGAGCGGTCATCTGCCATTTCAAAAAAGTGGGCCTGCTACCATGGCACTCCGTGCATCCCAACGACCTATTTATATTGTTTAGCATTGTAAAAATCAAGGCGAAACAGCTTGTTGCAGTGGCGGCAATGGTGCTGCCGGCGTATTTTTTGAGTTTGGCGCCCTAAAATGTTGTTTGAACTGAGTCAGTCAGGCCGACTGGGAATCGCTGAGAGGTGTGAGTGAGCGGTCAAGTTTGTATAGGCTTTCTTTACAAAAACCACTTCTGGTATGAGGATACATGCCTTATCTTGAAAAGTAGTCTGACCGACCGCCCTATTCGACATCATACCCACCTGACTGCGCGGTTATTGTTGTAGAAAGTTCGAGAACTTCGCATCCACTGAGCGTATTTTCTGTCAATCGGTAGAAAAGTCCCCTTATGAGAAAAGGCCTTTAGGGGCCGATTTTTTGTTATTAAATTTTGAGGAGTTAATTGCTTTTCCATCTGACGGTAATTAGAAGCCTCAAAAAGCTCGACGGGCGGCTTCGAACCGTATTCCAGTTCACGCCTTCTTCCTCTTCGTTTCTAACAGTTTGCCATCATTGGTTTACTTTGCGTCCGTATTTGTCCTTTTCGATCCGTATATATCTGCCGGGGAATAAACATCGGTGACCGTCACATAGGGGAGATCATGGCCAGCACATTAGTGACCCCATCCTTCCGTCTAGCCAGTTGTCGGGCCTCCGTCCTATTTTACGCCAATCTTTACCGACTCAGTATCCACGATACATTCTGCACACAGGCTTATGTAGACCTGGAAAAATCTGATGAGTTCCCGATGGTTTGACGCTTAAAGCCCTCGGGCTTCAACCGACGACGAATCCCGACATGTCCCTCGGATTGCTGCTATTTCCAGCCTTCATATCTTTTTGCTGCCAATGTTCATGTCAGTGATGCCATTTGTTCTGTTGTTAAAACTGCCTCCCGGACCTGGTGTCAAGGCAGAGTCAAGAAGACCGAAGGTGGAAGAGGTTGCAGGTGGCTGGCGCAGCCGGGTCGCCCCTAGGCGTGTCGTCGCATCCGGCTCGGATCTCACACGAAGTGAGGGTGCCATAGAAGCTAGACTATGAAGGAGCAATTGCTGCCTCACCTTCAATCCGCCACTCCATACAACACACACTGAACTGACTACTACGTCCGATTATCCCGCCAGTTGGCAGCCTTCCAAACCACGGCTTTTAGTGCACCGTGATAGCTTCAAGCACATCAGCTTGTTTATAGGGCGGAAGGTGCGCTGAGACGTTGACCTGGCTCTCTCTTCCCACTCCCAGACACCAGTCCACTGCCCGAGCCGCGGTCAGTCAGCTGATGCTGGAAGTGGACGCAGTGGTGGAACGGACTAGACGACCCGTCTGCGCGCGTCACACACACTACCTTGCCCCCTCCAGACGCACACACCAGCATTACACATAAGGGGATAGAACTCTTGGATCTTCCGTTCAGCAGAGGAGCCATACGGAGAGAGGAGCCGAAAAGCACACTTTCCAGTTACGTGAGAGATGCCAGTGATGTGGAGTGTTGGAGAGATGTATGCGTGGGGCCATGAGGTGATGTGGTCGTGTCCGCGGTGATTTACCGCAGGTTTTCATGAAGACGCCTCTGACTGAATAGGCCTATGCGGTAAGTGTGCGTGAACAGTATGAGCAGTTGAGGCGGGTGCGATGGGTGTATGTTGTTGCTCCAGGCACTGGTTCGCTGGTCTGTACGATGGATTCGTAAATAACTCACCAGGCCGATACGTGATGAACATGTGCGGTGGCAGTGATGGCAGGATAGGTTTGTGGCAGTAGAATCGGCTGACGTGGTGAGGCTATTGGCCGTGGTCGTGCTGGTGGATGGGGAGTAGTTAGTGCTGGATATGGGAGCGCTGTCAGGTATGCAGGGTGTGTGTGTGTTCGGAGTGTCGATATTGCGCCGAACTGCGCCTTCGCGAATGCGCATGCGACCGAATAAGCCCATGCGGTGAGTGATTGCGCCTGTATAGTGCGGGCAGCAGAGGCGGGTGCGGCATTTATGTCGGGGCTCCGGGCACTGGTGCATTGGTCACAGTGCGATAGATTCGCAAGTGGCCGACCAGGCCGTTGCGTGAGGTGAATGTGCGACCGCAATGTGGACAGGTTGGGATCGAGTCTG